ACAGAGTTCCCTGGAGATGCTTAGGTAAGGCTCTAAACATGGGACTTTACGGTAGGGAGGAATTTTCCAGAAGGACGCCTGTTGGACAACAGTTACAAAGGACTAGAGGCCCGATGCACGAAATGTGTGCAAGGGGCTTGGCCCTCCCAGCTGTGGCTTTGTCCGGAAGGACATCTGGAAGGACGTCCAGAAGGTCCTTCGGCTGTCCGGTCTAATTAGCATATTACACTTTTATTATTATAGATCACCCGTGGCCCTGGCTGGGTGGCTCAGCTGGTTGGAGTGTCGTCCCGTACACCAAAAGGTTGCGGGTTCAGTCCCAGTCGGGGAGCTTGCAGGAGGCAACTGATCTATGTTTCTCTCTCACATCGATGTTTCTCTCTCTCTCTCTCCTGCTCCCTCTGACATCAATAAAAACATATCCTTGGTGAGGATTAAACAACAACAACAACACAGAAACACAAAGTATCACATGTGTTCCCAGCACCAGCATGGTCTCTGTGTGAGTCTTTGTGCCCTTTCATCTTAATAATTTAATGAAAAAGGAATTGCTTCCAGGTCTGTACAGGGTGGTTGGTGTGTGGCCGAGTAGGAGAAGGGTCTTGTCTTGTGAGATCCTGTCTTTAAACCCGTGGGTTTGTGGTCACTGCCAAGTAAGAAATGGGGTCGGGTTGGGATGGGGAGGAAGAAAGAGGAGACGGTGGGCTTTGGGAATATGGCCAGTTTCGATGAGTTAAGGTTTCTTGTGTTGTCCTTTGACTGTCACCTGTAACGGGGTCTAGAACCTTCTCCTGCGGCCCGGAGTGAGACCCCAAGATGGGGGAGATCCCAGCATGCAAACTGGAGCCCCGCCTGTTTACTTCAGGCCTCAGATGTTTACAAAGTTCAGAGTTCGTGTCCAACATTTAAAAACCAGGGAATCTCATGTAAGAGTACAGACCCCTGGCCTCTCGGGAGAAGGCGCCCACCTAGGGCCACGGGGCTTCTCCTCGGTGGAGCGGGTGTGCCGAGTGGCGGCTGCCCCCAGACACAGCCCTGGTCTAGCTGCTCACAGACGTCTGGGGTAGAAAGAGAGCTTTCCTGCAACCTGACCCTTTGTTCTACCACGAGGAGACTGAGTCCCAGGCAGACCAAGATGGGGCTTGCTGGGTGACAGGGTGAAGTTGGGTCCCATTCTCCCAAGTCTTGGAGCAGAGCTCTTGCTGCACGCAGGCCTGGCACCTGCCAGCAGGCGGCAGTGTGGTGCTGCCTGGCCTCACACTGTCTCCTCCCTGACTTTCCCATCTCCACCCTGACTTTCCTGTCTCCTTCTTTCCTGAGCCCTTCTGTTCTCTGTCTTCCTCTGATTTTGCCAGTTTTCTCTCACTAAGTTTTCCTCTTGGCATGGCTCTCTCTTTCTCTCTCTCTTTTAAAAAGACATTTTATTGATTTTTTACAGAGAGGAAGGGAGAGGGATAGAGAGTTAGAAACATCGATGAGAGAGAAGCATCGATCAGCTGCCTCCTGCACACCCCCTACTAGGGATGTGCCTGCAACCAAGGTACATGCCCTTGACCGGAATCGAACCTGGGACCCTTGAGTCCACAGGCTGACGCTCTATTCACTGAGCCAAACTGGTCAGGGCTATTCAGGGTTTTTTTTAAAAGGCATTTTGGCACAGCCTCACCTTTTGACACTTTATCTCACTGGTCATCATATGCTTTCAGGAAAGCGATATCCCGTGGGCACGGGGACCCACACTGTAAATAGGTTGACCTTCAGCCCTGGAGACATGGAAGGGAAGGTCAAGTCTCGGCGTTTGAGCAGCTGCCAGCGTGCTCACAAGTGACACGTTATTCTTAGAAGGGATTTTATTTATTTATTTATTTTGGACACCGTTGCCTTCCCCACCAGCAAGTAGCGGTGACAGCAGAAGGTTCCAGTCTGGTGTGTGGGTGCGTCGTGCAGGAATGAGTGGGCCCGCTCCCCGTTCTAGGACGGGCTGGCGCTGCCTGCCGGGGAGCAGGTCCGTGTTTATCTCAGAGGTGCCGCCAGTTGGGCATCAGCCTCCGGTGCCCCCGAGTCCCCTCCGTCAGCTGGCAGCCGCCTTCTAGCCACGAGGCCTCGCCCTGAGATGAGCTTCCTGGGAACTTTCCCGGGATGGTGAGAGGAAGAAACTAACCATGGGTCCATCTGGAACCTGCAGATGGTGCTTGACGTTCGTGGGAGATGAGAAGAAGTGGGAGACACCTTCTGTCTCGAGGTGGGGCTGTTGGCTGGGGCCGGGGGAGGACATGAAACCTCGCCCAGTGGCAGAGTTGGCCGGGTGCCGGGTATGCCCGCTGTGACATTTCCCACGGGAGGCAGAGAATCCCAGGCGTCCAGCTGTTGTCTTCCTTCCGGGGTGACGAGCTTCCCGGAGGCTCCAGCTAAACCTCTGAATGTCTTCACTCTACGTCAAGCCCTTCTCCTGGGCTCTTGACAAACCACGGGCTTCCTTGGCTGCGTGTTCTGCAGTGAAAGTGTTGCATGTGAATTGAGTGAGACGGTCGTGGGGCCCGGGGGGGGGGGGAGGGAGCCAAAGGGAGACCATTGGTCTCTCCACCCGTGATCCCATATATTTTTTGCCTGCTCTGTGGCTGTCTTTTTTTTTTTTTAATTTAATATGTCTTTATTGAGAGAGAGAGGAAGGGAGAGGGGGAGAGAGAGATAGAAGCACCAATGATAGAGAGAATCATTGATTGGCTGCCTCCTGCACCCCCCCTACTGAGGATCGAGCCCTCAATCCGGGCATGCGCCTTGACCGGGAATCGAACCACGACTTCCTGGTTCATAGGTTGATGCTCAACCACTGCCCCACACCGGCCGGCTGTGTGGCTGTCTTATTGAACAGGAAAGAGACGGGGACTTGGGGGAGCCTTTGGATAGCTGTTCTTCTGGGCACAGGTGTCTCCACAGTCTACCTGAGCGTGAGCGGCCCTGCGGTCACTGCCCCGCTGCCTTCGTTGCCTGGGTTCGAGCCAGGGGAGGAGCACAGGGACTGGG